GGAAACACAAACACAGCAGGGCAGAAGGAGGGAACCTCTGCTGAGCTGAGGCACCTTAGGAGCCTGAGTCCTGTCTCTGCAGGCAGGGCTTTGGAGGTTTTGAGGAATACGCAGGTGGATCTTTTGAGTTCAAGGGCAGCGTGGTCTACAACACGAGTTCTAGGACCACCAGGACAACACAGAAAACCCTGTGTCAGAATAAAAATAGAAAAAAGAAAAACGAAATAAAGGAAAACAGAAAAACCTCCTGGTAGATGCCTCTTATGAGCAGAGGGCTAGGTCAAAAAAGGAGGAAGAAAGAAAGAAAGAAAGAAAGAAAGAAAGAAAGAAAGAAAGAGAGAGAGAGAGAGAGAGAGAGAGAGAGAGAGAGAGAGGAGGGAGGGGGGGGGGGAGGGAGGGAGGGAGGGAGGGAGAGAGGGAGGGAGGGAGGGAGGGAGAGAGGGAGGAAGGAAGGAAGACAAAGAGAGAAACAAGCCTTTTATTGAAATGGAAAGAACAAAAAAGAATAGGAGGTAGCTGGGTGATGTGTCAGATTCCATGAAGTCAGCAGGACCTTGGTTTTAGAGCACAACACTAAATTCAGCAACACAACAGAACTAAACAAAATCTTGTGGGGCTGGAATATGGAGAACACATTCTGCTGTTGCAGGGTTACCATCGGGGAGTTTTGATCTCTTCTGATTTGTTGTTGTTTCTGTGCCAGATGAGGAATTCAAAGGAAAACATCTCAACTGCAACATGTAGTAGCATCAGGGGAAAACACCAAACCACAGGGGAGAATTCACAGGAAAAGAAGGGTTTTTATTAGGGTTGAGGAAACACAAACACAGCAGGGCAGAAGGAGGGAACCTCTGCTGAGCTGAGGCACCTTAGGAGCCTGAGTCCTGTCTCTGCAGGCAGGGCTTTGGAAGGTTTTTGAGGAATCTTCCTCTCCATGGTTGAGTTGATGAGTATGGTGACGGTGATGGTAGATCCGCAACTTGGGGTGAAGCAGTCTTCATCCTTGAACTTTTGTGTTCTCGTTTCTCTTTTGTACCCTGATTACCCTCCTCCACCAAAGAGACTGGAACAGAGAAGTAACTGCTCAGTGTACGAAGGTGCTCAATTTTCCATGTCTGATGAAACGAGTAGATGACCTCAGCAATGGAACTCCACTATCAGTTTATAGAGAGAAATCTTTCGTCATAGCATCAACCTAGGATGTTTCGAGAATTTCCATGGGATCCATTTGGAAAAAAAGTGAATTGACTGTTACCCAGTCCCTTCAATTTAATCATTTCCTTGTGCAACGGATGGTCAATTGAGATCTCATATGGCTCATGATTAGGAATCCTCAATAGGAATCCTTCACAGTTCTAGGAAGTTATCACTGTACTAGGTTTCCACAACCTAAACCAAAATGCTCCTCAATTCCAGCTCTCTCTCTCTCTCTACCCCTCACACCTAACCCCTCTTGTTTTGGTCCCCACCAGTCTTGAGTCCATCTGGAAAATCTTTTTTATGTCCCCTTCCCAGAAAGTTTAATACATCCCCACAGACAATTCCTGTCTACATCTATAGGTTGAAGCTTTATTATCATTTATTTAATGGATAACATGCACTCATAAGTGAATACATACCATATTTGTCTTCTATAGGTTTTTCTCTCAGGATGCTTCTTTTCTAGTTCCATTCATATGCCTACAATCTGCATGATGTCATTTTAAAAATAGCTGGGTAATACTCTCTGTGTGAATGTACCTGTAGATGGTTTTCTTTGTCCTGCAAGACAGCTCACAAATAATGACGGAGATACTTTTTGATTATAAAAGCAGTGCCAATAGCTTAGGTTTGCTGCTAATTAGGTTTGCTGCTAATTAGGTTTGCTGCTAACTAGCTCTTACAACTTACATTAACCTATTTTTATCAAGCTATTTTTGACTGGTAGCTTTATAACCTTTATTCTGTACTGCCCATGCTACTTCCTCCCTGTCTGACAACTCTCCTCTTCTCCTTCCCAGCATCCTATACCTGAAAAACCCTGCCTAGTTATTGCCCATTCCACTTTTTATTAAACCAATCAGAATGACACATCTTTACAATATATGAAGAGTATTCCATAATATGGGCCACATTTTGTTGTTTCATTCTACCACTGAAGGACATCTAAGTTATTTCCAATTACTGACAATGATGAATAGAGTGGTGTGGGATGTACTTCTGTATGTGTGTTGTTTTTATTGGTTAATGAATAAAGCTGTTTTGACCAATGGTTAGCAGAATAAAGGAGGGTCTGATTGATTCCAAAGTCTTTATCACATTCACCCTATCTATAGGGTTTCTATCCAGACTATTTTTTGATGTCTCCTAGGGTCTGAAGAAGTATAAAACATTTTATGAAGATTTCAATGGTATAGCAAATTCTACCGCCGGTAGTGTTTAAGTTACCTGCCCACTTGGGTGTGGCCTCTTCTACTATAACTGCTGATGTAAAGCGTGCATTCGCACTCTCTTTTGGCTGCTGGATTCAGTTCCTCTTTCCTGTTCATGCAGAGGATTTTGATCTGTGTGTCTACCTTTAAATAAATAACCCTTTATTATACTAAATTCTGAGCTAGTGTGGGATTTCTTTTTAGCATCTATATTCATTTTAACATTTGTATTATTTTAAAGTTTGAACTACCTTGATTTGAGAAACAGTAGAAACCTTATTAAGGGGTTTTTTTTTTTTTACATTTTTGACACTAATGACATTTGTAGTCCAATATTAAATTAAGCCATCTCTATTAATCTATGTATCACTGTGAGGCTGTAGCTTACTGATAATGTTCTGGTATCTTTCTCCTTTGTTGGCTTCTTGACTTCCCCTTGATGATACATACTCTCTCTTTTTGGATTTTCCAATACAGCTTTAGTAATCAGTCAATAAAAGCAACAAATACACAGGAGGATATGCCACAATGCCCCCCCCCCATTTGTAGGATTTCTATCCAGAATATTCTTTGATATATCTTAGGGTATCCAGAAGTTTAAAACATTTCATGAACATTTGGAAATTTGTATTATTTCACTGCAATTGGAACTACTTTGTCTTGAGAAACACTCGAGAGATTAAAGAGTTTTTTATTTTTAACATTTTGGCAGTAGTGGCATTACTCTTGAGCATGAATTATCATGTGTTTCAAAAGTTCTAAGTAACTGCAAAAGAACTGACACACTCTTCACAGGGTTTCTCTCACAAGTGTATTCTTTGATGTTGTTTAAGATCAAAGACGGCTGAAAGGCCTTGCCATCCTCCACACTCACAATGTCTCTCTCCAGTATGAATAATCTGGGCTAAGAACATGCTATGAGAGTTCTAAATTCTTTGTCACAGACTTTACACTTGTAGGGTTTCTCTCCAGAATGAATTGTTTGATGTTCCTTAAGTTTTCTGGTATAGTTAAATAGTTTTCCACATTCTTCACATTTGTATGGTTTCTTCCATTGTGAGTGAATTTGTGCTGAGTTAGGTATGACATTTTATATAAGGCTTTTTTACATTCTTCAAATTTGTAGGGTTTCTTTCCAGAATGGATTATGAAATGAGCAGAAAGAATCTGTGACATTTTAAAGATCTTGCCACATATTTCATATTTGTAGGGTTTTGCTTCTATATGAATGTCTTGTGTTCTGAAAGTAATGATGTAAAGTGGAAGTCTTTGCCACGTACTTCTCAGTTTTAGGGTTCTTTCCTGTATGAATGCTCATGTACATAGGTAGTCCTGATGAGTAATTGAAGGACATGCCACACATTTAACACATGTATGATTTCTCTCCTATATGACAGCTCTTCTGTACAGAAAGTCACGATGGAACAGAAGCCTTTCTACATAGTTGTATGACTTCTTGCCTGTATGAATTCTCTCAAGTACTTTAAATTAATGTGCGAAACAATCCTACACCAGATTGGATTCAAAGGGGTATTTATTTTAGGGGAAAAACATACAGAACACCGACAGCCAGGAAAGGAGTCTAATCACCGGAGCAAGAGCCGGAAGCAAGAGAGCTAGCAGAGTTAAAGAGAAAGAGACCATGCCCCAGTGGGCTGGTATTTCAGCGGCTATGGCTAAAGGAGCAAAAGGCGTTCGGCAGCACCAAACAATGATGCAGCATGGAACAATGACACACACTTCCCACTTCCAGGGTTCTATCCTGTATGATTTCTCTTGTGTGCTGATGGAGACTTGAAATCCTTGCCACACTTTACAATTTTAATGTCTTTCTCCTGTATGAATGCTCATATATCTAGAACGTTATGACAGATCAGTAAAGGCCTGACGACATACTTCACATTTGAAGGGTTTCTTTTCTATATGAATCCTGTTGTGTACAGAAAGTTGTGATGGAATATAGAAAGCTTTGTCACATGCTTGACACTTGAAGGGGTTCACTCCTGTAAGAATGTTCTAGTGTTCAGACTTGTGATGCAACATAGGAGTCGTTGACACATACCTGACTTGTGAACGGTTTCTCTTATGTATGAGTTTTTTTGTGTGTATAAAATGCTGATGGGCTTTTGAAGGTTTTGCCACATACTTCACATTTGGAGAGTCTCTCTCCTGTATGGAAACTCCTGTGTGCAGAAAGTCCCGATCGACTCTTGTAGGCTTTGTCACATAACTCACACTTGAAGGGTTTCTCTCCTGTATGAACCCTCTTGTGTACAGAAAGTCCTGATCGACTGTTGTAGGCTTTGTCACATACTTGACACTCGTAGGGTTTCTCTCCTGTATGAACCCTCTTGTGCACAGAGAGTCCTGCTCGACTATTGTAGGCTTTGTCACATAACTNATTGCCACATACACTACACTTGTAGGGTTTCTCTCCTGTATGAATCCTCTTGTGTACAGACAGTACTGGTTTACTTTTGAAGGCCTTGCCACATACTTCACACTTGAAGGATCTCTCTGATGTATGAATTCTCTTGTGTTCAGAAAGACGTGATGGTAAATAAAATGCCTTCCCACAAACTTCACACTGGTAGGGTTTGACTCCTGTATGAATTCTCTGGTGTTCAGAAATTTGTGATGGAACACAGAAGGCCTTTCCACAAACTTCACACTTGTAGGGTTTCTCGCCCGTGTGATTCCTCTTGTGTAAAGAAAGTTGTGATGAAACATAGAAAGCCTTGCCACATACGCCACACTGGTAGGGTTTCTCTCCTGTATGAATCCTCTTGTGTACAGTAAGTTGTGATGGAAAATAGAAGGCCTTGACACAAACCTCACACTGGTAGGGTTTCACTCCTGTATGGATTTTAATGTGTAGAGAAAGATTTGATGGAAAACAGAAGGCCTTGCCACATACCTCACACTGGTAGGGTTTCTCTCCTGTATGAATCTTACTGTGTAGAGACAGTTGTGATGGATAATTGAAGGCCTTGCCACATGTGTCACACTTGTAGGGTTTTTCTGCTTTATGAATTCTCATGTGTTCAGAAAGTAGTGATGGAAAACAGAAGGCTTTGTCACATATTTCACACTTGTAGGGTTTCACTTGTATATGAATTCTTTTGTGTAGAGAAAGTCGTGATGGAAAATAGAAGGCCTTCTGGCATACTTCACACTTGTAGGGTTTCTGTCCTGTATGGATAATTTTGTGTTTTGAAAGTAATGATGGAGCACGGAAGCCCTTGCCACACACTTCACAATAGTAGGGCTTCTCTCCTGTATGAATTCTCCTGTGTACACAAAGTAATGATGGAGAACGGAAAGTCTTAGCACATTCTTCACACTTATATGGCTTCTTTCTTAGATTAACTTTCTGGTGGCTAATAGGTTGTGAGTTCCAAGGAGGGGCTTTGCCACATTCTTTGCCAGTAGAGTGTTTGTTTCCTGGTGAGTAAAAGTTGAGAAATGAATGAAACCTGAGCAAAATTCTCTATATTTATGTTTATTTTTAAAAACAGAAACATTGGCTCAGACCTGTATTTTTCAATATTAATAACGTTACATTCAATATTCTAAAGATGTATTCAGTGCATCCTAATTAAAACCACCATGATAGGTTGAAATTACATAAATAGAAGTGAAAGACGAAGACAGGACAACATAGAACACAAAAACAAATGAGTATAAACAATGTCAAACATGTAGGGAAGGCATAGCATCCACCATTAACAAAACAAACTATGATGCTAATTTAAATGAGACACTTAAACACATATAGAAATTTTATGTCCAAATGAACACAAAGTATAAAAGTTGTTTAAGTTGGAAGACACATATATAGTTCATATATATCCTAAATGCTTAATTTTGGGAGGTATAAAAATTCAGTTGAATAAGTAGAAAATTGTGCCTGTCAATATTAAATAATATATTTAAAGGATTGATAACAGGAGGATTTATGCACATCTGGTGAATGAGGATCAGCTGACCAACTTATGAAAAATAAACTCTGTTTACATAGAAATTACAGAGCTTGGTCAGTTACTGTAAACAGAGGCTGATCTAATGGTAGAAGGACAAAGCATAACAGAATCAAGGCTCCAGGAACAACATCCTCTTCTCACAGTAAACTAAAAAAGGAGATCCTTTTTTTTTTTTTTTAAAGTATGCACTATGTCTGAGGTATTCCTACCAGCTGAGGCCTAAGGCACTTGAATGACGCCAAATAGTGCTCAGGATTGTTGATTTTTTTTTTAAATATTTATTTATAATGTATACAATATTCAATCTGTGTGTGTTTGCAGACCAGAAGAGGACAGCAGACCTCGTTACAGATGGTTGTGAGCCACCATGTGGTTGCTGGGAATTGAACTCATGACCTTTGGAAGAGCAGGCAATGCTCTTAACCGCTGAGCCATCCCTCCAGCCCCCAAAAGGAGATCCTTTAAACCGTACATCCATCAGAACATTGTGAGTCAGTGTTGGTGATAGAGCCTGGCTTTCTGCTGGATCTCTGGCCTCTCACCCTGGCCTCTGTCCCCTCATTCCTACACACCTGTTCCCATGGCAGCTGCTGCTTGTCTCTCCATGTCTGAAGGTCCTTGTCCTTGCTCCAGAAATGTGACCAGGTATGGCTTAGAGAAGGTAAAACCTGTTCATGGGAAAAGAGAACATAATTATTAGTGTGTTCTCCTGGGGATCACATGTCCTGTCTAGGACTGTATATATAAGGAATGAGAGGATACAGTCAATGATTATAGAGGATTAGTTCTTCATGAATTTCTAGATGGGGCCATGTTTAAAAGGATTTGTAGGTACTGAGCTTCATGTCCCTCAGTTACTAAGAAAAGTATTAAAATCAAAGGGTGTGGTATTCTTTTTAACACGTGTGCTTCCTACTCATGCCGCTTATTTTATAACATTATCCCCAATATAAAGGATACCTCTCAAAACAAAGGGAAGGTTTTATAAACATGAGAAGAAATAAAATCATTCTAAGGTTTAGGAATACTCTCCTAAATTTCCCTAAAATTTGCCCCATAAATTTCATTGTTGGAAGCACAAGCACCCTTGAGATACTGTAGAAAGAAATCAAGTTTGACGCTGACAATTAAGAGTTCACCATGGAAGTTTCCCTCCCCCAATGTGGTAGAATATTACTTCAATGTGTGTTGATTTTGTTCATCCCCTGGAATATTTGAATAACGATGGAAAGATATGTTACATCTGTTTGACTAAATAAAATTCACCTGTGCTCAGGATGCTGAGTCAGCAATGAGCTGACTGGAAGCAGTAGGAAGGAACCAGGTGGAGAAAAGCTTTTAAGTCCGGGTGTGGAGAAGAATGAGAGCTTTCCCATAGACACAGCAAGGAGAGGAGGTGAGCTATTTGCTATTCTTTCCCTCTGC